GTGCCAGGAATGAGCCCTTTTATGCTCTCGTGTGCATGTGGAAATCGGCATGCTATGAAAGAGATGCTCACTCTGAATCCAGATTTGAGTTTGCGACATTGCCTACACGTCGCACTCATGTTCGCTGGAGGGGGCTCTGCTGACTTGGTTTCCGTTTTGCTGGAGGCTCGAGCGAATGTGAATGAACAGTTCCGAGTACAGATCCACGAGCCCGGGTGGTGGCTTCTGATGAATGTCATGGGTGTGAGGCATCGGGTAAGCCCTTCCAGACTGACTCTGCTGGCTTATCATCATTACGATGCTACGCCGCTGATGTTCAGCATTTTGAGTGGTTCTCTGGATTGTGTGTCCACTCTGCTGTCAGCCCGAGCCCGAGTAGACATCCGAAATTACCGTAAGAAAACGGCGTCCGATCTGGCACGCCAGATGCTCGCGCCGTCGTGGTTGATCGAGGTCTGCTCTACCAAAGGCGAGCAAGACGCCGAGGCCCCTGCCGAGAGCGACACGTTCTTCATTTGAGAGGTCTTGGCGGACGCCGAAGGCGTTCCCTCACAGTCTCTCGAGGTTAGTGTTGTTATGCTTTCCATTAACTTTCCAGCTTTCTGATCCCGGAAGCAGGTATGCAAGAGACGCGCTTAGTTTTCACCTACATCCGCAGTTTTGCAAAACACCATCATGCAGCTCTGCATTTCGTATCATCTAAAGCTATGGAACAGCACATAACGACTTGTAGCACTACGGTTCACAGAATGGTCATTGCATGTCACTGCTGTCCCGCACCATGAAGTTCCACACGTTACAATCTACCCGCCCCTCATCCGGTCTATCGATGACATAAGATGATAATAAGATGTATTTATATATGATTTGTTGTGCTGGAAAATAGGATCCATTTGACTAGTGTTGGTGACTGTATTCATGCTTGTAATTTGCATGGGTCCTTCCCCTCACAGTCTAAACCCGATGGTACGGAAATAGGGGAGCCCTGCTCTTTGGTTGGATTCGCGGCTTGAGTTTGCACAGCACCCCAGCATCGCTACCCTTGTTGTGAACTTGTCCAGCCAGTTTAGTTTGTGACCCGCTGCCAAGATTTTCAATTTTTCAACCTTTCCGGAGCAGCCACGAGGGTGTTTTTCCAATCGCCATGGATAGCGCGTCTCTTGTGCAGTTTGCATCGGCGCTGCACAAACATCGAGACAGTATTGCAGGCGGCTTGTCAGAGTTATTTTTCAGGGTTGCAGGAGATGCTGTATCGGCAAACGAGCCTGGTGACTAGTGACCGTGTTGGAAACACCTGCACCCAGTAGGGCTATCGGGCATAGAAGGGCTTCGACAAGGAAGCGGCGTGTCTCAAGCTTAGGCGGCCACACCTTTGTGATGTACACTGTACCTGCCGATGTTTTCTTGCAAATGACAGAAGTCAAGATGCACGAGGAGCTCGTAGAGGCCGGTGTGCTCACAGAGTTTGATGAGAGCCTGGGAAAGGCAATGTTCGTGTCACACCAGTGGCTGAGTGACACCCATCCTGACCCAGAATTCCAGCAGCTGAAAGTTCTGCAGGATACACTCAAGAATATCGTTGCCGGAACCAGCTCAATTTCTCAAGCTCTGTTCTCTGAAATTGTGTATGGTCGAAGAAGAGGCCCTGCACCCGGCGACTTCGCATCCGGCCATCTCCACATTTGGTATGACTACTTCAGCATCCCACAAAGCCGCGGTGGCCGCGCATCTCAGGGCCGTCAGACAGCCATTCAAAGTATCCCAACATATGTGGCAAGATGCGAGTTCTTTGTCGTGTTATGCCCGGCTTTGAAGCACATAGATCAGAAGCGGACTTTGAGCCATGCCTCTTGAGGCGAAAGGGGGTAGCTGAGTTGCACTTGCATTTCTGTGCCGTTTGACGATAATTGCACTTGTTCGGGCCTAGGCCTAAGTTTTGCCGGTTCTTCTGCAGCCCAGTCCAGGTGGTGTCGCACAGAGAGAGCTGCACGCGAACTTTCCACTCGCAAAGGTGGCTACGTCATTATTGTAGAGAGCGCCACACACCAGTCGCTGCTGTGGGCAGGACTAAGCATGAGGGATGTACCTGGTGAAGGAGAGTTTACGCTTGATGGCGACCGAGTGTGGATCGGTCGTATGATGACCCAGATGGTTTGGTCGAAGCTTTTCTATTTCCTCGAGCATCGACAGTTTCACAACTACCGATTCCTTCTGAATGCACAAGCAGTGTATTTCCGTGCTCTTGATGTGGAGCCCATTGACGGCCTTGTTCCGGGGTTCGACACTGAGATCGACCCGAGTGTTGACTGCAAGGGCTTCATGATGGAACGTTTCCTGCATCAGAACGGCCTCAGGAGCGTAGAAACCCAAAATCCTCAGCCACTAAAGCTTTGAAATCTCACGACTCCATATTTGTTCTCGATTGGTGCCGTCAGGAACATCTTCGAGCGGGACGCTGCAGGGTGGCCGCCCATTTGCTTTGCAGCGATGAGCAATAACGTCGTGGTGCTGCAAGCGCTTCTTGACCGAAAGGTGGATATCAACCAGGCTACGACCAAGCCCGCAACAGAAGTCAATCTTCCTGCCAAGCTGACGGCTCTGGGAATAGCTTGCATACTTCGCAACAATGAAGCTGTCGAGCTGCTTCTTTGTGCCAGAGCCCAAGTGAACTACAAGGATGGTTTTGGTGGCAATGCTCTCCATACCGCGTGTGCTGGGGACAATCCACGCGGAGTACGTCTACTCTGCCATGCTCGTGCCAACGTGAATCAGCAGTCCGTGCCAGGAATGAGCCCTTTTATGCT